CCTCAGTTTCCTCCTCTGCACAAGGAGAGGTAGCGTCAGTATGCACCTCCCTGGTCCTTGGGAGGATAGATGAGAACTGGTCCTCAGCTCAGGGTACCAGCAGGGCCTCGAGGCCTGTTGCTGTTACTGTCACTCAATTGTTTTATTAGCTGTGAAGGGGCTGAGGACACATGTGTGCCCAGAGGCAAGGAGGCTGGCCCCATCCATCCCCATCCCAGCTCTCAGCCTACAGTCCCCCTGGCTTCAGCACCCAGTGCTCTTGATTGACAGGCTGGGCGTCCTGGCAGGCCTGTCCTGGCAGCTGCTCCCACAAGGCGAGGCCCTGGTTGCTGCAGAGAATTAATTAGGCTGCATTCCTCTTTCAGGGCTCCTGGCGGGCCTGCACCCGGCCCCCTTCCGAGCTGCCGAGGGCTCTTGGCTGGGAGCCCTAGCAGGCCAAGGCAGAGCCCACACTGTACTTGCCCCTGAGAGGGGCTGGGAGGCCCCCAGGAAATGGAAGCCCTGGCCAGGAAAGGCCAACGATAAGCCAGCAACCCAAGGCCAGCTCCCGTCCTGGCTTTCTCTCACTTAGCAACCTTCACAGGCTCCCATCACTCAAGATCAAATTCTTGGCACTGGATGCTATTCCCAGTCTGGCCCCTGCTGCTCAGGCCAGCTGCTTCTGCCTGGACTCTTACATGCTCCAACATGCCTGTCCCTCCTCCCCCCGCTGTGAAGCCCTGTCCTTCATCCCAGCAAGTGCAAACCCTACCCGTCCTTCCATTGCCTGCCACCAGCTGGAAGGCCAGCTCATAGCATGTTCTACCTCCTGGTCCTTTCTGTTGTCTATCACCTTCCCTGTCAGCCCTTAAGGGCAGCGGTGTGGTGTCCCCAGGCCTGAAGCTCTAGGGACAGGCATTTCCAACCTGGTAGTATTGTCCTGGGAAACATCCTCTGGGGCTGTAGGTGGGACAGCTCCTGGGTGTCCTCAATCTAGAGTGTCAACCATGCCAGGCGCCTAGGGCTTGGTGAGGGCTCACAAGTGTACCATTCTGGCAGGCCTGCCAACCTTTGCCAGGCCCCTCCTTCTTTGACTCCTGAGAGAGGCTGAAGGAAGCATTCTTCTGAAGAGTGGGTATCCTCCCCTGTGCAGTTCTCTGTGCCTGGAACCCCCAGTCCCACTCTCCTTCCCGCAAAGCTTGATTTACATGTCACCTCCTCCAGGAAGCCACCTTGGGCTCCCCCTCCTCAGGGGCTCCATCTTAGTGTGCTTGTCCCCTATCAGAGATAGGAGAGCTTTATCACATGCTGGCTGTGTGACTTTGAGCAAGTGTCTTAAGTGTTCTTAGTTATCAATCTAAGAACTTTAAGCAAAGTCTATGTTGCCCAGGCTGGCCTGGAACTCCTGGGCTTAAATGATCTTCCTGCTTCAGCCTCCCAAGTAGCTAGGACTACAGGTGTGCACCACCATGCTGACTTACCTCATCTTTGAAATGGGAATACTAATGCTATGGAGTTAGCATGTGGAAAGCTCTGGTAGGCCCTCAATAAATGAGGAGCTCTGTTTATCTTAATACTGGGCAGTGTTTCTTGGCTTGTGAGGCGGGTACTGCGTCTGTCTGTGTAGCTCACACACATCTCCCCAGACCTGATTATTTATCACTGTTGAATGAATGAGTGGCCACATTCCAAGAGTTTATTGCTATGATAGGCAAATGACTTATATGAACTGGACTCTATTTGAGGAAAGCGAGAGAAAGAATTCCTTGCTGGGTGACGGATGCACTTGGGCAGCTGAGATCTGGTCTGCACCAGGCCAGAGCTGGGATGCAGCCCTACCTGTTCCCTCTCTCAACCTCGGCTTCTGTGCATGTAACCAGAATAAATCAGGGCAATCCTGTGCCCACTTCTGGCCTATCTCTGCCTAGGGTTCCAGTTGAAAAATCACGAATTTGATTTAAATTGGAAAAAACTTATTAAAGTATTTACTGAAAGGGGAGATTTTTGTTCCACAAAACTCAAACTTCCTCAACTTCCTCAAATGTAGACACTGGTCTTCCTGGAGCTGTTCGTCACACAGTGGCTTCTCTTGGCTCCCTCCCAGAATGCAGCCCACTAATCCCCAGCTGCCTAGAGGCTGGGCACACATGATCCCTTGCCCGTGCACACTGATCACCCCAGAGGGAGAGGTGGGGCTGGACGATGGCCAGGAGGGACCCCCTGAAATATAGGCCCTGAGCCAGAGGCCTGTTTCCAGAACACAGGATTTGAGAGACAATGCACTACCCTTTCCTCAATCTGCCACCCTTTCAATCATCTCCTTTGCTCAGCCATTTGGGTCACTGATCTCTGAACCCTTAAAAGGACTCTGTGCAAAGGGCAGGGAGCACCCACTTCAGGGGCCTCCAGCATCCCTCCTCCAGGATCCTCAAGCCTCTGCCAAGCTTCCTGCTCAGGGTGGCTCTGGGGTGCGGCAGGCCTGCAGCCTCCCAGGAGCAGGATTACTTTGAATGGGAGGCTATGATGCTGGGGAGAGAGGGTTCCCTGTGCCAGACCCAGCTGCAATGGGAGAGGGTGCTCTGACCAGGGCTGGGGTGGGCAGCAAGTGGCTGAGTTGGTCCCACTGCCCCCCACCAGGCCTCTCTAGCCAGGAGGACCCCCTACCCAAGGGCAGGTATTGACTTTGCTGCTTTCCCTCATTCACTGCCAGCCCCACCCAGCCCTTAGGGGGTGGATAGTTCCAAAGCCTAGCCATGACCAGGTCTCCTGATGCTCATAGACATTTTGTGGCCTACAAGAGAAAGTCCAGCTTTTAACTTGACCTTCAAGGCCCCTGAGGCTTCATCTTTCCTTCATCTTTCATTCTCCCCTTTCCTGCGTGGGATTCTGGCAAGGAAGCGGCTCAGTCACTCCTGCTTTCATATCCACCCTGTCACCTCTTCCCTGCCTGGACTCCCTCTCTATTTTCCTTCTACTTGAGTCTTGCTCATGTCTTGAGGAAACAGGAGCACCACCTTTGTGCAGGATCTTTTCTCTGACCTCTGCCACCTTAGCCACTTCCAATCTCTCCCTCCTGTAGGTTCTTTGGCTCTGTCCCCATCCTGTCATTACATAATCACCATTGGCAGCCTGATAAGCAAACTCTGCTTCTTCTCAGGCCCTGGCACCAGAGCTTACCTGTTTGGTGCTTGCACTAGCCTTGTGAGTTGGGACTCCTTACTTCCCATTTTCTGGATTAAAAAAAACCCTGAGGCTCAGAAAGAGAAAGAGATTTTTCCAGTCACACTGCAGTGGTGATCCATGAATCCAAACCACAAATAATTATTATATACACAGCACTATAGACTGGAGCTAGAAGGCCTTCCAATCCTGATGTCACTTACTTGCTGGGTTATCCAATGACAGTCACTTGCCTTTTCTGTCAATCATTTTCCCATCTGTGAAATGGAGAATAATTAAAAGTACCTGTGTTCCATGGCTGTTGTGAGGATAACCTGAGTTAATCTGGATAAAGCATAGAATATGCCAGTATACTGTTGGAGCTCAATACATGTTGACATGTTATTCTTCCACGAGGAAGTCAGGGTTAGTTTTGTGGACAAGGCAGGGTTAGAGCACTATATGAGTGATTATTGCTCAGCCCATAAATATTTCCTGAGAGCAGGCTTGGGTCACATTCTGCCCCTCCCAGCACAGGCCAGCTGTGGGGAAAGGACTCAGCCTGCTTGCAGGTGAATTTAGCAGAAATGGAGGCCTTGGGTCCAGGTAGTTGCCAGCAAGAGTGGCCCTAGCTGCCAGCTGTCCCTGGTCTAGTGGCTGCTGCTTGGGCTCCAGCAAGCTCACTGAACGCAGAGCCAGAGCACTGGGCTCCTTTGGACAGAGAAGTATCAAACTCCAATAGGGCCTCACCTGTGGTCTAGTGTGAAGAGTGGGACCAGGGTGAGGCCAAGGCTTCAACACCCACTGACCACCAGGGCCACACACAGCTTTGGAGTTCATCTGGCTCTAGCCCTTCCCGGACAGATATTTTTGGGGCCTTGCAGTTAGCCCTTGGCAGGATGTGGCATTTGGGGCTGAAGTGGCTTTCTGCACCCTCAGAGTTTCGGTTTCTTCCAAACATGGTCTTGGGTAAGGCCTGGCCATTGGTTTATGGACTGGCAGGAACATGGGTCCCAGAATCCTAATGTCCCAGCTGCAGATGGCTGCCTAGGTGCCCCAAAGAGGGCAGGTTAGCAACCTGAGATGGCCAGCAAGAGGAGGAGTGGAACCTGGGGCTCCAGCTACCAATCTCAGGCCCTTTCCTCCCTTTCTTGTGTTCCCCCTAATTTCCAAGTGGCCTCTTCCTGAGATGAGCCTCTCACCTCTGCTCAGTCAAGACAAAACCCCAAAACACCATTTCCACATTTATTATAAACACAAGTTTGCAGGTAAACAATTGAGGTTCTAAAAAAACAATACATTAAAATAAATAATTGGGATTCTCAATGTTCTCAGAGCAAGTAAGTTCTATACAACAGGCAAAGCCAAGGAGGCTTTTCTCACCAGCAATGTTCCAAGGAAATGAGGGTACAAGTACTCTGGGGGAGGGAGAGCCAGAAAGGACAGATGGGGCCCAGCCAGGATGCCAGCCCTTGGAAGGACCCATTCAGCCTCCAGGTCTACCTTCGGCCTGTGTGTGCTCCGCCATGTGGATGCTCTTGGATAGACAGGATCCCCAACAGACAGGACCTGGCCTCCAAGTTCATGTCCACCCCATACAGCTCCTTCAAGCAGAGTTGTAGCCAGCAGCCAGCTCTGGAAGGCCACTCTCCCATGTAGACACTGAGGGCTTTCCTAATGGTATGAGGGGAGCTCCCTCACCAGGGTAGGGAGGCCAGAGCTCATGCCAACCCCAACAGATGGATCCAACTGGCTTGGGCCCAGACCCTGGCCCAGAAGACAGGCAGAGGGTCTCTCATGAGCTGCCCTCTCCTCCCATCTCCATGCGGGCTTCCTTCTCAACATTCCTTCGGCTCACAGTGCTATCTCTTCCTCCACCTGGAGTGTTTTGTCTTGGGTTCCCTCATCGCCTCCTGCTGTTGCCAGGCAAAGTGGACTTTGGTGGCAGAAATGTCCCTGCAAATCAAGAAGGATCAACTTAACATCTGAGGAAATGTGAATTGCCCATGATCAGTGATGGGAATTAGAGCTTGGACACTGGATTCCGGCTGCCCTAGAGTCAGAAGGTAGCCACAACCTGAAAATGAGATATGTACATCAACGGTCTAGAAGTTTCTCTGTCCATGGGGGCCTTGACAAAGCTGATATTCAATGCCAAACGCTGCTGAAATGACCCTCCAAGGACAGCCCAGGTGTTGCCTATCATCTGCCTTTCCTCTTCAACATCTCACTTCTGCCCTTCCTTCCCAGCTGTCCATCTTCTCCCCACCCAAACTGCACCATCTAAAGTTCCACTCATGCTCCAAGGTGCTGCTCAAGGTGGTCCAACCCAGCAAATATGATCCCAGTTGCCCTTTGAATCTGGCCAAGTTTCTGGCCAGGACCCTAGTAACTTTCCTGGCTGAAAGAGATCTAGGCTAGGAGTAAGAAGGCTGGTCTTGGGCCTGGGCTGTGGGAATGTGAGCAAGAGGCACACCCTCTGTGAAATCTTTGTAAAATACAAAACAGACTTGCACTGCTGAGGGGAGAAGTGCACAGCTCGAAAAGTAAGCTCTTTGCACACTGAGTGCTGTGCACTTGTGAAGACTTACCTATCCTGTTTTATTTATCTATTTTTTTATCTTAGCCTCAGAAAGTTCTTAAGTATATGCTGGGTCCTGCCTATCTTACCTTCTTGCCTTTTCTCTTATTTTCCTGCCTCTGCTCAAAATGGGAATTCCTAAGGGGCCACACCAGGCACTGTTCAGCCCAAGGAGCCTTCAGTGCAGAAGCAGGCATGGCTAAGACCACTCAAGATCTATGGGTTCCAGGCTCTGCTTGACACACATCACATATGTCAATGCACCTGACCTCAGGGCTATCCTGTGGGATGGACACTGCTATTTCCCTGTTTCTGGATTACCTTGGGCTCCAGTCAGGAGCCCCATTTCAGCTGCTGCCCCTGGGCCCCTCCGCTGCATGGCCCCAGGCAGCACTTCTGCTGTTGATTCAGTTTAGTTGGACAAACATTCATGGGCACTTCTCGCATATCAAGCCTTAAGCTGAGCCTCGTAAAGCCACTGGAGATCAGTTTGGGAAGTGAGGGGGAGTAGGCTGGGCAGCCGGTCCCTCTGAACCCCAGCATGTGGAAGAGGCTTGATTCAGACACAGCCTAATGAAAAGCTTTGGTCTCCCCCAGTCGTGAGCCTTCAAAACCTTTAGGAAAGTCCAGGCCTGGTGGTAAGAGAGAGCACAGTGGTTAAGACCATAGGCTCTGGACTCAGCCGGGTGCCACTGATGCTCTGTGATTTTGGGCAAGTAGATTCACCTCTCTGAGCCTCAGTTCTCTCATGGAACTGAGTTCTCTCCTGCCTCTCATGGAGAAAAATATCCAAGGTATACAGAAGGTGCTTGATCAGTGCAGGCATCCCTCACCTTAGCCTCTGGAGGAGCTCTCCTGCGTGGGCCCATGTCTTGCCAGTCTGGAGTGAATCTGCAGAGGACTGGCTGCTTGGCCCTGCCACAGCGTTAGCCCTGAAAGAACAGAATAGCAACAAGGCCCAAATGAGGGGCTGCCCAGTGCCCTGAAGCCACCTGGCCTGCAGGCCCAGCCCAGCCCCCACCCCACCCCACCTGCCCTCAGGAGCAGATCTATTTCCACCCTGTGCACCTGGCATCCTTCCTTTCCCGGGCAGGGTGGGGACCGAGGAAAACTGAGCTACTGGGAATGTGTTCTTAGCCTCAGAAAAAGGCAGCTGGGTGGCTGGTTTTCCCAGAATTCGGCCACCTGCAGCTGCAGGGGAAACTGAGGCAGGGGTGGAGCCTCAGCCTGAGCTCCAGAGGAGGAGTTTCTTATAACCCATCATGGGAGCTGAAATGTAAGATTCTGGAAACTAGTTCCTCCTTTCTGGAATGGTTCAAGTGGAGGAGAGAAAGAACAAAATCTCCCACCCCTTTTACAAGAGGGAAAACTGAGCCCCGGAAAGTGAAGAGACATGGCAATCCCCTCCTGCCCCAGCCTCAGCAACTTGTGATAACTTGGGGTTGGTGTCATGGCTTCCTGACTCCAGATGTTATTTTCCTTCTAAATGAGCTCTGAGTCTCAGGTTGGACTCCAAAGCCCTGTGGGACCTGATGCATTGTGTGCCTGACACAAGTCCTGTCCCCTCTCTGGGCCTGAGCTGCCTATGCTGTCATCTGGTGCACATCCCTCCTTCCAGAAAGTACATCAGGTGACTTTCTGAAGCCACCATAGCTGGGCAGAAGGAGGCACTTGGGCTGAATGATTCCCTGTGGATGCTGCCCATCACCCAGGGTTGCCCTGTGGGCCCTGGGACTCCACTCACTTTTACTGCCTGGCTTCTTTGATGGCCTCCCAGATACCCTGCTCTCAGGGAGGGTCCAGGCTAGCAGCCACCCCTACCCCTGCAGGCTGGGTGCCCACCTACCGAGGTTTTTGATGGCAGAAGGTGGCACAGGCGGGGTCCCTGGCGCTGGAGCACTCACAGCGCTTTGGCAGGGAACGGCGCCGGCGTCTTGGCGGATTTCCCAGGCCGTAAGGAGCTGTCTGTCTGTGGGCGGACAGCCAGCAAGGTAGTGGTGTGGGGTGGGGTGGGGGAGAGAGAGAGAGAAAGAGAGAGAGAGGATTAGATAAGCCTTGGACATTGGCAAGCAGGGACTGTCCACACTGCACACTGCACACTAGGACAACCAGTCATGCCACCAGGGTGGCAATGAAAGGTGACCAGCCTCTAACCTCTGGTTCTTCCACAGTGCCCGAGTAACCCCTCTCTCCTCTCTGGGTCTTTAGACCCTCGCTCTCCTGGACTCAGTAAGCTCCCGGCATGAGGAGGAAAGGGGTAGAATCTGTGGTCTCATCAGAAACCAAAAAGCTAGGGGGCCTTCCCCACTCTGCTCTCCTCCCAGACAGGAACCTGAGCCCTGGGAGCCAGGCTGGCCCCTGTTCTTAAGGAAAACTCTCAGCTAGCCCATGGAGGAAGGAAAGACTCTTCATCTCCCAGAAATAAGCACCCTGCTCACAGCTAAGCTACCCTCACCTCCTTACCACTTGCCTGGGGGAGTGACAAATGATCCTTAAAGCTTTACCTTAAAAATGGTTTTGTGTGTGTGTGTGTGTGTGTGTGTGTGTGTGTGTGTGTGTGTTTGGATTGATTTCAGATTCAGTCTGGCAAAGGTGGCTAGGGTGGGGCAGGGTCGCCAAGGCTGGTTGGACCAGCACCTACGGGTGACAGCTAATTTTAGGTAGTGTGGCTGGAGTTGCAATGACTCCGGGTAGACCCAGCACGCAGGGACTGGCAGTGTTCCCGCCCTGAGCTAGTGTTTGGATGTGGATTAGCTCCACACATGCTTACGTGCTAGGCTTCTCTTGCCTTATGCAATTTGGGGAAGGAATAATAATAATAAAAAAGTACAAACACACACAGTAACTTCAACCTGAGGTATGCAGAAGCCTGGAGGCAGCGCGGTTGCAGGCAAAACACCACACCCAGCTCCTGCTTGGCGTCAGCCAGGTATCACGGGCACGTTTCTAGCCTGTCATCTGGGGGCAACAGCAGTGCCTGCCTCATGAGGAAGCCGGGGGGCGGGGGCAAGAGATGATACTGCACATGCAGTGCTTGGCACACGGCTTGGCACGGTCAAGACATGGCTGTCATCATTGATCCTCTATTCTCTGCAGAGGCAGCATTTCAGAGCCAGTTCGTACTCCGGCATCTGCAGACTTGGGATGGAGCCCACCACTTACTCCTTCCTATGTGACCTTGGGGAAGTCATCTAACCTCTCTGAGTTTCAGTATCCTGATCTGGGAAATGGAGCCAACACTTTCCTACCAGGCAGTTTTGAGAATTGTCAGGAGAGCACCCTCTACTTGTCTCTGGGAGCCCCCACGTAGGAATTGAAACAACACCTGTTCACTATTTACAGTAGCCCAATGCCCCAGTCTGGAGGCCCTGAGAGAGCCAGACTGTGGCAGAGGCTCCCCAGCTTGCCAGCAGCCCTTACCCTGCCCCCACCTCGCCCTTATTTCCCCACCTGGATCCCCATGGGTGCTCACCCAGCAGTGTTCACCCAGATGATGTCCAGGTGGCAGAAGTAGACGCACTCCTTGTCAAGCCAGGAGCTGCATGAGCAACGGCGAAACCGCAGGTGGGTGCCGTGGGCCTGGGATGCAAGCACCGACTGCTCTAGGGTGGCAGCAGCCTGGCTCTCCCCTGCACACACAGGAGGGAGAGAGAGGCGGAGAGGTGGTCAGGGCACCGGCCCGCCTGGTATAAGGGGACCCGCCAGGCTCCTCCTCTTGCACAATTGAGGAAGTTGGCTCTCTTGCTGCTCAGGAGCTCCTGGCCAGCCTGGGGAAGCCCCAGGAGCCTGGTGGGAAGGGCCAGCCACTACTCTGTGCCTGCAGCACCCTGCACCTGCAGAGCACCCTGCACCACTGCCATCCGCTTCCAGCTGTATTCCCCCAGTTTACTTGGGGGACACTGCGGTCCTGGGGTAGGGGAAGACACTGCTGGACAGACCTGGGGTCTGCAGCAACAGGTGAGGCCGGGGCAGCTCACCTTTGTACAGAGCCATGAGCAGAGCCAGAGTGACGGAGTACCAGGCAGTAGGCATGAAGACCATAGCAGCTGCAGGGTGCACGGCTGGATCAGCTGGACCGAGCAGTGAGAGCGCCTGTTGCCAGAGTCCTGCTGCTAGGCTGAGCTGAGAGCTCATTGCTGGGTGCCCTGGCTGCTTCTTATAACACCAGGCACAACACCCCGCCTCTTCTGGTCTAGCCCCTCCTTGCTGCACCTTGGGCAGGGAGCCAGGGAAACCGCCTCCTCGGGTGCCTGGTCCGCCCTGGCCTCCCAGTGAGGGGGGAGGGAAGTGGAAGTTAGAGCTCCTCCTTTCATGCCAAGCACCTCTGAGAGTCCTGAAGCTCCCTTGCAGCGTCCAGGGCCCCTTTCGGTCCTAATGGACTCCTACTGACCCAGGCCCGTCCCCTAATCTCTTTGTGGCACTCCAAACTCTTGCCTAGAGCTGAGAGATTGGAGGGGGAGGTCCCATGTGCAAAGCCCTCCCTCTCTTTGGAGGAGACCCTGCCATAGGTCCTGCCCGTCTTCTCCATGACAAACAAGCTGAGGATGTCCCTCTATTGTGTAGGAGGTAAAAGGCCCACTCAAAGCTGTGTGGCCTTGGGCGAGTCAGAGACCCCTCTGGGTTTGCTGCCCTCATGAAGGGCACAGCTCATGCCTGACCTCTGACCAGCCTGGGGCTACCTCATCCCCCCCTCCCCAGGAAGTGCCACCCACCCCTCCTCTTACCCCAGCAACCCAGGGTTTGGAGCAAGAGTTCTGGTTCCTTCCAGAAGCAATTCAGCAGTGTAGCCATGGCCAAGGCTATCCCTTCTGGGCCTTAATTTCCTTGTTTGCAAAACAAAGCTAAAACAGGGGGCTTCTTAGCCTGTTTGGCTCATAGACTCCCATGAGGCTGAGCATGTGCCTCCATGCCCTTTCCAGAAAGAGGCCTTTGTGGGCACACACATGCTGCTCTGGGTGGTCTCCCACCCTAGACGTGACAGGATGTCTTGGCTCACCTCTGTAGCTACTTAATGCAAAAGGAAAAAAAAAAAAAAAAAAAGGCAAGGCAGGGGAGGGGCTCTCTGGGGCCTGGCATTCTGCTCCAGGTCCCTCTGCTGGTCAGGATGCCTTACTGGAGACAAACACAGGGATGCGCTAGTGCTCACCTGAGGGCCTTGGGGAACTGGCAGCCACACTGTGCCTGACCAGGCCTGGCTCAGAGTCTACTTGCTGCGAGTCTTCTCAGGGACCCTGACTCTAGGCAAATAGGAGAGGCCCTCTCAGTTTTCAGAATTTCCAGGCCTGCCTGACTCATGGCATTGGGCCTATCTCCCCAACCTTCTGGGGGTTCAGCACCCCAGAGAACACAGGGCCTGTTGAACACTGTAGGAGCCCTGTGCATGCTCTATGAGGGAGAGGAAATGAATTAAGACGGAACTGGTTTTGAACTGTGGAACCCAGTTTCTTGCTCCTATGTTCTATATTTTTAGTTCTTACATTACATATTCATGAAGGGAAAACAGGTGACTGCAAGGGACAGGCAGTTTTGCTCTTGCCACACTCTGGATGCATACATGCGTGTGAGATCCCAGTAAATTCAGGCAGAACCCAATGGAGGGTGAGCCCTGTCAGCATGATCTTCCTTCCTTCAAGGCTGGGGCCGATGTGGTGGAAGCAAAACAAACATTCCCTGAGCACCTACTGTGCGCTCAGGGCACTCTCCACTCTACCTCACTGCTACCATCTGGTGTCAGAGGCTCAGAAAGGATCAGGGCTCCACCTCAACCTCACAGCTGGCACATGGCAAAGTCAGTATTGGAACCCCAATCTTGATCTCTCCAACAAACCACAATGGACAACCTGTGCGGGGCTCACTGTCCGCCCCCACATCGTGCCTCTCTAAGAATTTAGAGGAATATTTCTGGAATGAGGTGAGCAATACTCCCAGTCATTTCTATTAGCCTCCAAGAAAATATGAACATGGAGTTAAGCAGGGATGGAGGGGGAGGTGGGGAGAATGCAAAGCACTGAGCCATGAAGAGAAGAAAGAAGAGAAAGGAGGTCAGCTGGGAGAAGGAGGGGGTCAGGGTGGGGAGGAAAACAAACAGGGAGGCAGATAAAGACAGGTAGGGAGAGAGCAAGGGAGAACAAAGAAGCAGTGGGTAGCAAGAAAGAAATAACTGGGATTTAAGAAAGTAAAAGAGAAAGCCCATCAGGAGTAAGTGGCATGGTTTTCACGTGTCTAATCTTTACACAAATGCAAAAATGCCTGCTCAGGACAATAGGGAACCAGAGGCTCCCAGTCTGGGGAACATAATAGGAGAATTAAATGGACCTGGAGACGGGATCTTTCCCTGTTGTGAAAGGAGGATGACGACAGGGCAGGGGCCACTGCCTGCCTGGCAGGGTCAGTGCAAGGAACTGCGTGCTGTACCAGCTCCAGTTTCCATCTTTACCTGGTCAGGGCTCCAGCTGGGCAGGCAAGGCTCCCTGTAATGGAGAGGCCTGCCTAGGAACCTGAGCGAGCCTGGTCTTAGGGGATGAAGCCATTCCGGGAATAGCACTACCCCATTGACAAGAGTTGGTTTCCAGGTAGAGAAAATTAAGCTGAGTTAAAAATAGCAGGTCCCAGCCCCCTGAATCTCAGCCTGGGCCTTGCTAGTCACCTCTGCGCCTTCTGGTAGATCTGGCTCCAAGCCCCTGATCCCTGTGACTGGCCTGGGTATGCTATGTCTGTCCCTTCTAGGTGGCCTGACTGCCTGTCCCTGCTCTTACTGATTGGCTTGACAGCACGCTCCCTCTTCTGCCCCCAAGCTCACTGCTCTGGCTGCTGTCCTGCTGTCCTGCTGTACCCTACCCCCAACCAACCTGGCCCTGCTACCTGGATACTTGCTTGGGTTTCTAAAGGCTATAAGGAGATGGCAGGGATTCACCAAAGGTCCCTCTGTCAGAATTTGGAGGGAACTGTTTTACACACAGGAGGTTGACACCAGCCTGATTGGAGAAGGAAGGGAGAAGTGGGTGAGGATGATGGCTAAGCTGTGTTTCTGGGTAAGATGCTAGGACTTGCCTTGTAGAAATCCCCTCCAATCTTCACTCCCATTCTGTAGGTAAGATAACTGGGGTTCAAGATAGAAATGGGGCCTGGCATGTTTGCTCAGATCCTAATCTAGCCCCACCCTTTCCATATACCCACGAGTTTCTCCCAGGGCCCAGCCGTGTCTGTGATCCCAGGTGCCTTTGGGAAAAGCAATCAGAAGGACCCCTTCTGATGGCAAAAAGGCCATGGTGCTGGGATAAGCCTGCCCTGTCTTCCTAAGCACCCCAAAGCTCCCTCTATCATTCCTGCCCAAAGAGTAAATATGGCTGTCTAGCCACTGTGGACACTGCTGTATGGAGGATGCATGGGAGAAAGGATTAAGTATCCTGGGATGTGTCCATCTAGGCAGGAATGGACTGCAGCAGATACCTGGTATTGCAGACGAGGCTCTGGACCAGGAGGCTTTGTCCCAGCTCTGCTACTCAACTGTGTGGCATGGGCTACTCCTGTCTATTCACTGAGAGTCCTGCCTTCCCACTGATGGTGAGACATCCTCTTAGCTCTGACTACCCGTGACATTCAGAATCCAGCTGAGCTGAGTTTAGATCTCCTCCACTGGAAGTCCTGCAGATGGTGGCTGCAGGACTCCGACTCCCAGCTTGGACTTTCCGCCTCTCACCTTTGGAAAAGCAGTTCTTTCCTTAATCACCACCTGGCCCCGCTACATTTCAGGAAGTTCTGTTTGCAGCCCTTATGGAAGGGACACAGTGTTCTGGTTGCAGGCACACACTGTGCAGGCGACTTAGCAGAACGAGCAGCTGGGAAGGGGGCTAGCCAGGGGCAGATGTCTGGAGCCTGCAGGCCATGGGAGATGGGGAAGGATTTGGCCCTGGAGCCAGCCTGGGCTGGGGGCTTAGGGACTTGGGGGTGTTCAGACATTTCCCATCACCACTCAGGTTGGGCTACCGCCATTGGGGCCTGGGGACACTCAGTCTTAGGGCCTCCTTCTGGTAGGTGGTCTGGGCCTTCTGCCATCAGCCCCAGCTCACCCTGTGCCACCAGAACCTGCCACCACCCACACTGTCGTCCCCACACTGGGTGTCCACAAGGGCAGTCTTGGCCTTGTGGGGCTGGATCCCCTGGTCCACAGCTCCCTTGGAGGACACTTTTGTTGGTTCTCCCCCTCCCTTCACCTCAGCCCATTTGGAAAGATTTATATCTCCCACATAAACTGTACTTTTAAAGGAATAATTCATGTGCCTTGTTTGTTATTAATCTAAGAGCAATTAGAACAGGGTCATCGAGGCCCATGGAACTGCTGGAATTTCGGCTGAAAGCAGATATTGTTCTGTCAAAGCACTCTGGTAAACCGGCCATGTGAGTCCTGCTAGACATTTTGAAATAAGAAAACCAACTCAGGGACTCAGCATTTAGGATGGAAATCTCTGGATTCCAAGTTTTTGAGTTCCTTCCAAGTGCTAATGGCCTAATTCCATACTTAGCCTTTTAGGGGTATAGAATAAGTGAGCATTTATTTAGCACTTAATATAGTCCAAGCCCTGTGCTAAGTGATGAACTGTCACAACATACCCATGGGGTAGCTATTGTAATTAGTTCCTATTTTACAAACTGAGGCTTAAAGAGGGTAAATAAACTTGCCCAATGTCAGACAACTAGGAAGTGGCAGAGATGAATTACAGTATAGGTCTGTGTTACTCTAAAGTCCCAGCTCCTAACCCATTGTGGCCCCAGTGTGCTTTCCTTACGATCCAGCCTTTGGAGAACCCTCCCACAGCAATTCTTCTCTAAAGAGACCTCCCTGCTCATACTAGGCAGAGAACCTATTTAGGCTTGGAAAGTGGGGAGCCCACTTTCAAGCTATCACTTGTGTCTCAATATATAAAACTCAGCATGAAACCCTGCCCAAGAGAGCAGTGGCTGAGGTCCAGCCACAGCTCTTACTTAGGCACCGACAGTCCATTCTTATTTCTCTGACTTCCCAAACAGACCTGGGAGGCAGG